CTTCCTTCCCTTCAAACCCTTATGTATACCCCTCACTCTTTCAAACTTATAACCTCCTTTTTCCACTAATTGTTATTGCATATATATATATATATATTCCTAAATGTAACCTGTTCAGTCTGTGTAATCTTGCCTGCATGCATGATTTCAGACCTGATCATTTGGTTCTGCACAACCAACTGTGCACACTCTTCCCTGGGGACCTCAGTTACCTATAGTTTTGTGTGTGGTTGAGGCTCACCCCTCCCATCCCCTCTGTCCAGTTAGACCTGCTCATTGGTGTCATCCTTGTTGAGCACACATTGGTGAGACTATGGATGTGCCTTCTGATATTCTAGGAGACACAATCTCACTGTAAATTCTCTGACTTTCTGACACTTACAACCCTTCCTCCCTCTTTGGTAAAGACCCAAAGTTTTCAGCATGAGAGTGTTTAGTGTTTTGTAGGTGTGTCAGTTGGGACTGGGCTTCATCACTCTGCATTTTGATTGGTTGTGGTTTTCTGTAGTGGTGTCTGTTGTAAAGAGAAGTTTTCTCGATGAGAGGTGAAGCCTACACTTACCTGTGGGTGGAAGGACAAATGTTTATAGATTGTTTTAGAGATTATGCTGACTTGGAAAATTAGTGTTGTGATTCTTCTCCAGGAACCATGACTTCACTAGCACTGTGTAGTCAGCTAGGTTTTCAGCATCAGGCATTATTTTCCTCTTGTTGAATGGGTTTTAAGTCCAACTAGAGAGTTGTTGGTTACCACCACAGTGTGCATGCCACTACTGAACCTTTAGGGTTACCATGGCTTGCTCATCATTGATGTGGTTCATAGATGTCATAGGTAGGTAAGACTGTTGGTTGCCCTCATCTTTGGAAGCTTCCATGGCAACTTCTGAATACCAGAGATGTTTTGTTGGATTATCCACATGGCTTCCTCTTGTGTGGTTTGTCCCAACATCTCTAGCTCTGTGCATCATTTTCAATGGGCACCTTGAAAGAATTCTTACATGAGAGCATTTCTGAAGCAGTATTATTGTCATGCTTAACAAAACAGTTAATTGAAGTTTTTCTGCTTCAGATGTACTTTAGCTTTGTAGTTAGCTTGTCTAGAACAGGACCTGGGGCAG